ATAGATAGATAGATAGATAGATAGATAGATAGATAGATAGATAGATAGATAGATAGATAGATAGATAGATAGATAGATAGATAGATAGATAGATAAAATATATTAATTCACAAAATTTCCCACACCCTGAAAAATTCTGTCTGCTGAGACCCAGTCATACCAGTCACAACTGGATATAGTATTTAAAATTTGGACCTCTTCTTAATGTGAGTAATTGTGTTTCAGCTTTAATGACAACAAAATTGTGACAATTATAGTGTGTTTGAAAGTTAAACATTTGCTCCCTCACAGAGACAAACATTTTACCGGTCATCCAAATGGTTTAAAAACAGCATCTAGTTTAATTTGGACATGTATTGTACCAACATTTTTAAATATCACATGCATTGTACCAATAAATATTTTGGAGAAAAAATATAACAATTTCAAAGCTTTTTAGTCTCTGAGATCAAATCCTGGTCTTAGAATGACACCTTTTTTAAACTTTATTTTACAAAACAGAATAAAGCCATCACAGTTCAACAACTGATCTGTAACGAATCTGAATGAAGTGTGGGAGAATCTAACATCAATTTGAGAAATTCACATTTTATAGATTTTTAAAATAGCACCATGTTTTGACCTATATGAGGGTCACTTTCAATTTGGGGCAATCATCGTTCACAGACCTGCATCCAAAGTGATTAATAAGGAACCTGACAAGTTACCAAACAATTACATCTTTTCATTTAATTATGTGACAGAAAGCAGTTCACTTACCCTAATCTTTTTGCCCCTGGGCTTCACCCAAGGTCATCCTTTAGCTTGTCAACTGACAACAAATCTACAGATATCTCACATTCCATAAATCTAATCTAATGAAACGCTAATCATTGTCATAAATGTTAGAAACAGACCTTCAAATTAGTCTAACCAACAAGGCCCCATTTTTTTTGTAATTTAAGGAATGTATAAGGGATGAAATGCACAAATCTGAGACCATTGTGTGAAGGTGGGAAATGGGGTTTTGTAAAGAGATTGCGCTCGAAGGCTTGTAGTGAGACAGATGTTGGTTTGAAGCAATATAGAACAGCAGACAACTCCTCTGTACAGGACAAGGATTGACCCAAATTGGTATAGGCTATTTTTGATACTGATTCTGATCTAAATATGATGAAGTGGCTGACGTAGACATCAATCTGATATACTATAGAGAGCAACCAGAAGAGATTAAGGTTGTTTTATCTTATTTATAATGGACAGATGGACGGACAAACAGACAGATGGGTAGTAGAAGATGTAGATTTTTTTTTAACCAAGTGTTTTTTAAAGTTTTTTTTTTTTTTAAGCTTCTTCTCTTTATCCTATACAAATTTCAGTTTTTTTGTTACAATGCTTTTTTCTGTTAATATATGATCAAATATTTCTGGTATTTACTAACAGGTCTTAGTATTTAGCTTTTGGTAGAAGTTATATGACAGACTATTTGTTTCTTCTAAAGCTCTGTCTAACCAATATTTGTCGGTATATAGTGTTTTATTTAAACAGAAAATTATTTACAACAATCCTGATGAATTTCACAAGCCTTAACGAGATGGTCACTTAAAGAAAATGTTTTCCACCAATACTTTAAGTATATCCAGGGTCTCCACATATTTACCCAGCAGTTGTCACTGTCGGCCTAAATACTGTTGACATTTTACTCCTATTGTCTTTACCAGTGTTTAGGCGGAACAGTGATACAAATCAACATGTCTTGTTCGGATAGAAACAGCATCACTTTAATTCAATCTCCCCGAATTCAATGTAAAAAAAAAAAAAAATCAGACCACGTGATTTTTTTTTTTTTTTTTTTTTTTTTTTTTCATTGACAGACTGTTGTGGAAAATTTTTAATGTAACACTTTTTTTTATTTTTGGAAACACATCAGTTTCCTGATTAAAACATTTGTATGTTTAGCTTGGAAGTCTTTACAAAAGCCAAATTAAACTAAATAATTATGGGATATTTAGTCCCAAGGTTCAGGCTTCAGGCATTAATCTCTAGTTTCAAAATTCTGCTTGAGGGGTTTCCAGGTCTCTTTAAAAGAGCCAGTCTATAGCTTTCCAGACCTTTCTTTGTTTAAGTGACCACCCACATGATAATAATTGCATTAAAAGTAGTGATCCTCTTTGTCAAGGCAAAATAGATTGTGGGAACGTTATGATATCATGCCTCTGTTCTTATTCTGCAAGAATCAATAGAGTCATTAATGAATGAAAATCCCAGATCTCATTTCTTTACCTGAGAGTCCCAGACTTTTTTCCTTTAAAACAGACCTCAAGGAAAGAATTAAGCTACATGCTAAGTAAAACAAACTATTTTGCATTCCTTCCACACACTATACAGACCAGCAAGGTTGGTGAAAAGATTGTGAGAGACTAATCAAAAAACAAGCAGAGTTTATATATTTGAAATGAAACATTTTCAAACATAAACAAAGATTTACTAAAATAACAAATATTGAATAAATCTTGAAATATATCTTAATGTTCTGTCCCTGGGATTCAAGATAGCTTAGAAATGTATCTGTAGTACTACTTTAGAGGGAAACCTCTACATATGACCTTATGACTTATGACTTAAAAACTATATGTCCCCACATCTGAAAAATGGTTTGGCTTATGACCCACACACACTTCCACATAGACACCCACAAACACATTTGGCTTCATCAATCAACTTCCTTGTATATAAACAATGTTTTTCTTCCCATTCGATCTTAAAAACATATGCCAGCTCATTTCCCACATTCTAAAAAAGACAGTTTAAAATATATACCCCTAGAACTATGAATTTCTAACCAGGTCAACCTTTTTAAATGTCTTTTTTGTTGCCTTCTTTCTTCCTTTTCCCACCTTCTGACCGTAAAGATTCAGGCCACATGATCCAAAGGTTTTATATGTAAACGTTTCACCGTTTAACTTTTCTCCTTAATCCTACACACACACCCACACACACACACGCATATACCATGCCACGTCATATTTTAGGATCCCTTGCTATTATCCACAACTACATACACACAGATCTACATTCCCTCCTACCTTCTGAGTATGGGGAGGAGTGTCAAATGATCTCTAGTGAGGGTTTAAAATGTGTTTAAGCTTTTCCTGAGTGAGCACAGGTCTATCGAATTAGATAACAGCGTTCCCTTCAGGGTTTAACCCTTTGCATCAGGAAACGCTTAAGACGGACACTGTTGCCTTTGTATATAATGCCCCGATCAGCTGTCACTAAGTCACCCATCTTAAATGTTTCCTGAGTGAGCACAGGTCTATCGAATTAGATAACAGTGTGGCAACATCCGAACCCCTCAGATGACTACCAACTCCTCCTTCTGTAGATGTTAGGACATATTTTTTACTAACCGTGACTACGCTTATACTCCATCCGCAGTCAGCACCCATCCTTGCTGGAGAAAGGCTGCATTGACACAGCAGCCTGAAGTGACCCAGATCTTTTACAATGCGACCTGTGTCTGAGCGAGCACAGAAGCGGCTAGAAGAACAACAACCATGGTGGACGATAATGCGGGGAAGCCGTTTTTTTTTTTTTTAACCATCTTAAAAAGATTGTGCTTTTAAGGTTGCAAAGTGGCAGCAGTGTTAAGATCACAGAGCTGCTACAGGCAGAGGTTGAAATGGAGTGCTAACAGTGAATATATAAGAAATAAATACAAATAATTACAATAATAATTTAATAATCATAAGTGTTATTAAAATAACATTATTAATTTTAATACATATTAATTATTTTTTAAATTAATTTTTTAATACATTTTTTAAACAATTATAACTCATTTTTAAAACAAGTTTTGTTATTATTATTAATTGTACACTAATGGGGGCGGGACTTCCGGCTCTCACTTTGGAATGTGGGCGTGGTCTCTTGATTTGATGGAAGGTAGTTTTTTTTTTTTTTTTTGAACAAAGACTTTGTTTGATCAGATCAATATTCAAAATCAATGATTAATACAATAAGCCAGAAACAACAATTTCAATACAACCATACAAAAAATTGGGTAACAACAACCAAACAGGTCGGCGAGCTGAAGATCCATGTTTTTTTTTCCTTTTTCTTTTTCTTCTTTATCATTATTATATATATATATATATATATATATATATATATATATATATATATATATATATATATATATATATATATATATATTTTTTTTTTACTTGGAGGATGAGACAAAGGGAAGATCTTTCTCGAGTGACTTTTATTTTTATCATAACAGAGATGTGTGTTTACGCTTATCTTACTACAATATTAACTGGAAATACGTCTTCAAAGGGTTCCATCTTTTCTCAAATAGACCAGTGGAAGAGTTTAATTTTGCTGTTATTTTCTCCATCGTATAAACATTCACTAGTTTCTCTTTCCATTGATTTACAACAGGGGGTGAAGGTTTATAGCAACATATTGTTATCATTTTTTTGGCTACGAGAACAAGGATACCAAATAAGCATTGCTCTTCTTTACTTAAATTATTTGGTGGAATTCCCAGAACAAAGATCTGGGGATTCCAATCAATATCAGCATGCAAGATATTTGAAATTTCCTCTCTAATTCCTTCCCAGAATTTCTTAATCTTTGGGCAATCCCAAAAGACATGAGTCTGATCTCCAACTATTTTGCACTGTCTCCAGCACAAGTTTGATCAAATTTGGAAATAATGTATGGAGTTTTGAAATATCTAACGATTATTTTCCAGTAAAATTCTTTCCATGTTGCGCTGTTTGTCAGTTTATGTCCAGTTATACATACTTGCTCCCACTCTTCATCTTCAATCACATCATTCATTTCTAGTTCCCATCTTTCTTTTATCCCAGGAGCTCCCCTCGACAGACATGACTGTAAGCATTTGTATAGATTAGACACAGTATTCCTGAAGGCAGTTTTAGGGAGGTATGTTATGCATACATGTATATATATATATATATATATATATATATATATATATATGGAGCTTGTAACAAAAGTAATTCCCCTCTGGGATTATGAAAGTATGTCTGATTCTGATCCTGAAAAGAAATTAATAATGAATATTTGTTTTAAGTGGTTATTTTCATAAAATGAATAATGCCTCTCTGGCCAGATGCAGGTTGATAAAAAAAAAAAAAAAAAAAATATATATATATATATATATATATATATATATATATATATATATATAAAATGGATTTATTAATTGGTAGTAAGCATTGGAGGTAAAGTGAAAAATTGTAGGTGGGAATAAAACTACTTTTATGTTCTCATTACCGCCATCTGCTGGACCGAAGGCGTATTGTAGTTTGGATTCCTATGACCTAGATCAGGCGTTCTCAGGTCCAGTCCTCAAGAGCTAAAATCCTGTAACTTTTAGATGCATCTCCTAACACACCAGCATCTAAAGGCTAAATCCTCTCTTTAACTTAGCAGAGGCATGGTAATGAGCCACTCATTTATTTCAGGTGCGTTAAAAATGGGTTGTATCACAATGTTAGACTCTGGTCCTCAAAGCACACTGCCCTGCATGTATTGGTTGTTTCCAGGCTGTCACACACCTGATATCAATTGACAGCAAATTAGCAGGTTTTTCTTTTAACTCCAACTATCTGAATCAGGTGTGCTGAAGCAGGGAAACGTCTAGTGTGCCTTGAAGACTGGGGCTCTTGTGGATTTAGTTTATTGTTGAGCAGCAAACATATTAAATGGTCTATAAAATAGTGAAAAAGATTTAACAGTTTAAATATTTTCGTTGTTTTTTTTTTTTTTTTTTTTGGCCCTTAACTTGATGGATTTAGTATATTAAGAAAAGTTGAAAGGGGGTCGATTTGGCCCAACCCAGTTTAAAATAAACCACACCCCTAAAAATATAGGGGAGTTTCTTTACTTTCCCTTCCGTTGATTGAAAAATACTTCTCGCAGTTTCCTTGATGGAAGTGGATCGTCCTAGCGGACGCAGCAAAAGACAACGGAATACTTTAAAAGCGCAGACTTTGAACACGGATGGGTAACAAAGGGAAGGATCCATAACCATGGTGCGTGACGCACCATCATCTGCAAACAGCTCATGGAGAAGGCAGCCGAAAGGAGAGTTAAGCCAAACTCAAAGAGAACGGATGTCTGAAAGCGCAGCATCGCAGCGGAACTGTAAGTCGCTTATCCACGCCTTGGAGTAGATTTGGGTTGTTTCAGTGTCACTCCCATGCAGATAAGCAGACGCATTCTTGTGGGGGTTTATGTTTTTTTTTCTTTCTTTCAATAATGTTCCTTAACACACCCACCCTGAAAGGTTGTAGTCAAACTAAAAGAGCAACTCCCACTTAACAGATTATCAGATTATACAAATATATGAATTCTCCTACAAGACTGTAGGTACTTAGAAACTAAATTTAACTGATTATGCATTGCTTGTCTAAACATGTGATTTTAACGTGCAGATAATGGTAAACTGCTGTTTTGATTACCGTCATTTATCCTTCGTGAAGCAAGCCTCGAGAGCCCTCACGCGCTTCTTTAGGTCCCGCAAACATTAAGAATTGCGGTAGTAACGCATACGCTTATTTCTAATGATGCTTGTAATTCTGATGGATATTTCTATTTTTTTTCTTTCCACATATTTGACTTAACTGAATTTCTTCAGTTTTATGCTGTGTGTTTTTTTTTTTTTTTTTTCTGACCGTAGATATGTTATCATATTAAAAACATGCAGCTACACCTGGGGATTCTCTGCTGTCTCTCTGAACCGAAAGCAGTTACATTTAATGTCAACAAGATTGACAACTTGGCACAAACAGTCAAAAGCTGCAGGGTTTGATGCTTTAGTGTTAAAATTCCACTTGACTGAGTTGGGCTTTGGTGAATCTTCTGTTAGAAAACACAGTCACGTGAAACAATTATTTCTAAAAGCATTTAAGTGTAACAAGAGTGAATAACATCTATAGTTTAAGATATTTACTTCCAGAACACAAGGACAAGTAACATAAAGCTGAAGAAACTGTGATATACTGTTCCAAAAGGAAATTTAACGAGCAAAACATCCATATTTTCTAAATAAAGACTAACTATACTTTCCAAAAGCCTTTGCTAACAAATAGATGCATATATTTAAACATTTATGCTTCCTAGAAAAAAAGGTATAGTGGATAAAATTCTTTAACCAAAGACTCCTAGATGACTTACACACACACACTCACGCACACACACACATATAATATATATATTATATGTATGTGTGCGTGTATATATATTGTCGAGTTAAAAAAAAAATATGAGCGCTGAGAGTTTATATTATAGGAAGAAAAGGCTTTAATTTCACTTTGCAAAGGAGAACATACAACCAGCCTAAATGCAGCTCAGTGATGTTCTGAGGCTGCAGCATGCCAACCCCTGCATAAAAAGGGGACTACCCACACCTTAAAGCTGCAGTCTGTAACATTGAGAAGAGAGCAGACTTCGACTGAAAATTTGAAGAAAAACAGGTTTCACGCCACTCCCCCACCCTCTCTGCTTCACTCATGCCCCACCTCCAAGCTCCACCCCTCTCACAGCATCTGCGCGGCTACCGCATGCGACCCGAAGCGTCCAAGCAGCGTACGCGGCATGGAGTGTGAACCGGTAAGAGCGAGAACACTCACCTCCAAGCAGCTAGATATAAGATGCTGGTTATACCGAAGTTTGCCGTGTAAGCAGTTGTCAGCAGGGGCAGTAAGGGCAGTTTCTCTTTCGCTGGTGGCTGTTGCTCCGCCATGACTTCCATGCGCGTCCTCCTGACTGCGGCAGCTGGGCGGCAGCGGCAGGTTAAGCGGTGGGGGGGCGTGATTCAGCGTGTGTGAGCTGTGATTGACACTCCATCAGACGCTACTCTGGCTGTGATTGGTTGTTTTGACTCGTCCCGAAATATTCTTTCCAGATTGAAATACAGGCAGTATGCGGGACCAATTGTAGCAGTTTTTTTTTTCACAGGTTACATATCACATGTACTGCTGTCTGGGCATAGGGACAGTTTAAGCCAATATGACAAAAAAGTGATTTTTAAAAACTTACAGACTTTAGCTTTAACATTTCCCAAGAGAAAACACTTTAGCTCATCAAAGGACAGAGATGACAATTGTTTTCTGTTCACACCAGGACGTGAGAATCTTGACTTGTTCCCCCCTTATCTAACCTAAGGGGAAACTTCCTTTCAAAAGCCCCTACTTTCCTTTCATCTCAGCAAGGCTTCTAAGTAATCATTTTTATTGAGGAAAAGAGAAGAAACAGACTTTAACATCACTGACAAACAGGTTACCGAAAAATACCATTCCACAATATGTGTGTGTGTGTGTGTGTGTGTGTGTATATATATATATATATATATATATATATAGCGTTCTGAAAACAGCCTGGCTATTGCACTTATCTTTAGTGTTTGTTTACAAGTAATTGCTAATATATGAAAAATGTAAATGTTTTGAACATTCTACTTGAGAGTATTACTGCTGCCACCATCTGTATCAGAGGGAAGAAAATGGTAGGGGTGGCCAAATTTGGCCTTGGCCCCCCATCTAGCACCGCCCCTGCTCACATTAAACAAAATAACTGCATTTTCAATCTACAGCCTCATTCTCTCCCCTTCTGCTCCTCCAGTCTCCATGTGTCTTTGAACTGCTGTTACTACTAGGGCTGCAACTAACGATTATTTTAAAAATCGATGAATCGGTCGATTATTTTTTCGATTAATCGATGAATCGGACAAAAAATATTTTTTATATTAACCTCTTTATTCCAAAATAAACATTTAAGACAGAACAAACAAGCACACAAGTACA